TCGCACTTTTCTAGGGAAGTATATATATATATATATATATATATATATTATATAGATTGCCTAACAATGTAATTTTAACACACTTTTTAGTATGTAAATATAAGAATGTTTAAAATATTTACAAAATGATGAAAATAAACGCAATATTTCGCTAGACTAACTAGCTTTATCAAGCGTGCATCTATCCAGGTGAAATCGGATGTAGATGATAAGAAACTTTTGCAGCTCAATGTATATGTTGCACTTGAATTTAGCTGGCTTGAAAATAATACATAATTTGGATGAAGTTCAAGATTTTTACAAAATTGGTAGTTAAAGTTAGCAACGTCCATTGGCCAATATTACAGGATAAAAAGGACGATGCTGTGTACTAAATTATTCTTTATCTTTCCTGTATCTTTTCTCATCTTTTTTGTTAAGACCATCAGGTTCTAAAGTGTGGAGTTGGTGGATCCAAAAATTTTCTCTTCTCCTTCTCACCGTGGTGTCCCACTCGGTGTTGACTTCTATGATTTGGAAAGTACTTCGAGAAGGAGAAGAGGAAATTTTTGGATCCACCAACTCCACACTTTAGAACCTGATGGTCTTAACGAAAAAGATGAGAAAAAGATGAGAAAAGATGCAGGAAAGATAAAGAATAATTTAGTACACAGCATCGTCCTTTTTTAAAAACCGCAATTTTTATACGTGTGCATGCAAAACAAATTTCTTTGTAGAGGGGTCTAAATACAGCACAAACAACATTTTCCAAAAGACCAAAAAAGTGAAAAAGTATATTTTAACAAAACGCATTTGACTAGCAGGTCGAACAACTGATGTTCTTAAACCCTGCTGACTGCCATTGGCGATTGCCAAATAAACGGATCACAAGATGTAAAAAATGGATCTTATAATTAATTAATTACCAAACAGGAAACAATGAACTTGTGGAAAAGATGGTATACCGCAACATGAGGTGCAAAAATTTTGTACACCATATCCGGATTTCGACAATTAATGTCTCTTATAATGTCTAAAAATAGCAACAATCAACATTCAATCTATTTAGGCGTGGATCAGTTTGTGAAAATAAACTGATACAGTTACTGAATTAAAATTATATAAATGTCTAAGAATATAACTTAAACACGCTAATTAATACATTAAAAAGTTATATTAGATTTTAAATAGAAATACGCAATATTTCGCTAAACAAATTAGCTTCATCAGGCGTGTGCATCTCTCAAGGTGAAATCGGATGCATGACAAAAAAATATTTTTGTAGCTCAAACTACACAGAATTTTAGTAAAAGTTTAACATATTTATTGATGTTCTATAAAAAAATATGTTTGTAGCTACAACTACATAAAGTTGGAGTAAAAGTTTAACATATTTATTGATGTTCGATAAATTGTATGAATTTCTATAAATTAATTTGCCTGATTTCAGGATTGTTATTTAGATTTGTTTTTAAATCTTTTTTCGTCTCTCTCATTGAGTCCATCAGGTTCAAGAGTTCGTAACTGGTGCCAGAGACATATAATACAATTGTATTATATGTCTCTGCTGGTGCATCCAAAATCCCTCTCTTTTTTGTCTTCCTTGTGTATCCCAATTTTGGTTTTTCTCAATGATTTGAAATGTGACGTTTTCAAAATCATGCCCTGCTCTTAAAAGATGTCTTGTGATTGGGCAGTTTCTTTCTTTTGTATAAAATGACCGATGGTTATTTAGTCGGATGTTAAATGAGGTTTCTGTTTCACCAACATATTGCAACTTGCAAGTTCCACACGTTAGAACATAAAAACAATTTTGCGTTTTGCAATTTGATGTTGTAAATATGTTGTATTTTTTCTTCGTGACTGTGCTGACGAATTGGGTTTCGATGTTGGCGACTTTGCAGCACTTAATTACAATTGCCCCTTCCGCATGGTTTATAACCTCCTATTGTCGATATCTCCTGTTTAGATAATTTGGATGTTACTAGAATATCTTTGAGGTTTTTGGGTCTACGGTATGCCATGACGGGAGGTGATGGAAAAATCTCTTTTAAGGAAGGATCATTTTCAATAAGACGCCAGTGTTTGTGGACAATAGATGAAAGATTTGTCAGGTCAGGATGAAAGCTGACAACAAATGGAATTTTATTTGTCTGGGACGTCTTCTCTTTGTATTCAAGTAGGTTTGTTCGGTCTTTTTCTTTTGCTTTACCGAAAGCTTCTGAAATATTTTTGTTCTTATAACCTCTTGATTTAAGTTGCTGTCTGAGTTGTCCCAAACGGTTGTTTAGTTTTGATTCCGATGAATAAATCCGTTTTAACCTGATGGCTTGGTTGTACGGGATGCTCCGGGAACAGTGATTTGGGTGACAACTCTTCGGAGAGAGAAATTGGTGTTTATCAGTTTTTTTGGTATGAAGGTCGGTTGTCATGACTCCGTTTTCTAAAGTTATGGTGGTGTCAAGAAACGTGTCAATAAAAGTAATACATAAATAACCAGGCCAGAATACCCCCCCCCCCCCCCGATTTATTCCTCTTTTTAAACAAAAATTAAACCCGCAGGTAACTCGACAATAGAAAGTTCTTGTATTTGGTGACGCCATTCTCTATTCTATTAGATAGTTTTCCTTTGAGGTATTTGAAGGAAGACCAATTAAATGACGATGGAAACGAGGATAATGACCAGTATCTCATATTAAGACCCTCAATGAATCAAGAACCAAGACTTGTTAGGTCGACCGTTGGAGGGTAAAGCTACGAGGAAGCTGTTATATTTTCTGTAATTTTTGCTACCATAAACCTTCGTAAATTTGGTAAAAGTTTGTTAATAATTTTATTGATAAGTCTTGTTGAATCGTAGATGTTTGAAATGATGTTAGGTCCATTTACATTTAATACAGAAATATATTATAAAAGTAAAATATCTAGCCCCGGCCCGGAGGTGCAAATCGAAGTTCTGTATGTTACTGAGAAGTTCGATCAAAGATGAAAAATTGCATGAATCTTGCTGCACTCCGAGTAGATACACAAATTATATATTAAGTGTCTTCACATACAAAGTTATTTAAGTCTTCCAAATGTTCAAAGAAACCTCTGTTCACATTACCATAATCGTTTCTTTCAGCAATTAAATCCGGGCTACAGATTTATTGTGAAACTAAAAACTCTGGATGGAAGTTCAAAGGTTATGTTATTTCGTGGATCTCCTATTTCGCTTTGCCACATAATGGTATCTTACGAGGTTTGAGTTGGTCTTGAGTATTGTCTGTTTCAGTTTATACTACTTGTATGTCATGATCTGTTATGTGCGGAGCCTTGTTGGTCTCATACAAATAAAAAGGTGTGGTGTTTAAAGTCAAGGGCTTGAGATTTAACGTTTAGCTCTGGAGATGTAAAGTCTAGCACTGGAGTTTTAAAGACTAGCGCTGAACATGAAAAGTCTAGCGCCGAGGATGTAAAGTCTAGACGCTAGAGATGCAAAGTCCAGCGCTGCAGATATTAAATACAGCGCTGAATATGTAAAGTCCAGCGCTGTAAAAAAGTGCTTTGTGGCTTTGAAAATTTGAGAATGATGATCAATCTGACCCAAAAAGGAAAGATATGTACTTATATAATGTACACAGATTGGGAGCAAGAGAAGTTAAATATTAAATTTTGTAAATGCATTCTTGGTGTTGCAAAAAAATGTACAAATATTGGTGTTAGGAAGATTCCTTCCTAATATTGATATCATTACCCACACGTGTATGTATTGACACCACCTTGTAAACCCACCAACAAAGCTATTGCCATCAGCTTTCAGTGATTACCAAACAGGTGAGATAGTAAAAACCAACTCCTGGTGTAATGCTATTAAATTCTGTAACAGGAAATTTTAATTTGTGAAAGCTTTTTGCGAAAATTTTCCAAGCAATCATTTAAAATAATTGGATTCAATACGGGATTTAAGGTATATCATAGGTATATATTTCCTCAAATAGATTTTTTTTATACTTTGCCAAAATAAAGATTTTTCTATGCTTTTTTAAAAAATATAATAAAAAGTATGGGTCACCGTGCTATTTTTCAAGCTACGGGTCGTACGAAATTGCACAAATTTGCTTAGATTGTTCATGAAAAAACACATTTTTGTGCATAAAAAGAAATCTATGAGATAGAATTTTGAAATAAAATATTAGAAGATAGGTTTTATAATATGCTGTAAGAAAATAAAAATGATTCTAAAAACACAATTATTTGGAATTTATTTAAACATTTTGAATAATGCAATAAATTACCAAGTTTTCTTTCATCAAATAAACAGTCTAACCTATAAATTGCCTATCTGTCTCCAAATTTGCAGATTTTGGCAAAGATCTAGACCGATTGTGTACTGCGATTGTACAATCCAAGATGGCGGTATACCATGAATCTACATTAACATACTCATTATATTCAAAAATCTTATCCACAGTATTCTTGTTTTGTTGAATCCAAACAAAAGTAATAAAAGACAATAATCAAACTGGATATTAAACTGGGTATTATCCAAATCCTCACAAATACAAATATATACAAGATGACAATCGGGAAACAAATCACTGCTTCAGGTCTTGGTGGGGTTTACAGAATAGAGAATAATGGGCAAAATATGCAGAATAAAAGGGGGGAAAATAGAGAAAAGTATACCAAAAGAATTATAAGAATAGAAAATAATTGGGCGCTAAAATATAAAGAATAGAGAATAATGGGCAAAGTTAATAAGAATAGAGAAAAGAGAAAGTAGATAAAATAGAATTGAAGGATTTCTTACGTTAGTATCAACACCGTTACATTTGTATCACAGTTTTAAATTCCGTTTTCTTTTCAAATGGACGTGCGAATTGATGGTCAAGTGTTACCAGAATATATAACACTTGACCATAAACAGCTACATTTACAGTGCAATATCTTATCTATTTTGCTTTTGGTATATCCAATACTTATCGAGCTTTCCAATCGGTTTAAGCCAAGAATTTGCTATATATGACATCTTTGTTTGCTCATTGTTGACGTCCATACGCTAACCTGGAGGATTTTATATCCTTGTCATTGACGTTGATCCTTGCAATTGACAGTTGTAGCATTTTGGTATTATCCCATCTCATGTATTTATTTGTACATGCTTTCCTAAACATTCATATTTTATGTTTAGAATATAATCAACTAAATAAATACATATATTTCATTTATATTAAAGTATCAAATGTCAAAAGATAGAAAAGCAGCTTAAATATTTTTATGCCATTGTAAAATTCCTCGAACAACTGTGTTTAGAGGATTTTTTCACAGATATATTGTGGTATGTTATGTTCGTTGCAAGGACAATCGTTCCATCCATCAGCATTCATGTATGCACAGTCTTCACCACCATTAGAATTGTTAGGTTCTCCACCTCTCCAGCGCGTGTATGGTAAGTTTCTACCATAATAAGAACTTATCCACCGTCCTTCATGCCCATAGTCAGTTGCATCGATCCAGGCACCGTCTGCAATGTATTTTAATAATCCATCAGAGTAGACATGATATCAAAATAAATTAATGTACTATGTTTTACCACATAAACACTGTAATGCAAAATCATACACATATCTCGAACGTACAGAGAAATAGCTGTATTTGTTTTTTCCTAGTTCCCCATTAGTGAAGTTATTGCAATTAAGGCAAAGTAAACGTATTTCTGATTTTTGTGACATTTTGTTGGGGTTTATAACTCGTTGAACTGCACTTGACTATCGACAAAATTATGAATATAGCATTTATCTTGTTTATACTAAAAAAAACAATCAATTACAAATCTGTGAAGAGATCTGTAAATATGTATTTGCTATGCACATTTCCGTTTAAAGATTTGAACATAATAGGGGTTACTGTATTCATTTAACTGTCTGTATCACTTTATCAAGTGGTTGTCGTTAGTTGCTGTATGCTATAATGATATATCGCTATGCGATAAGGGTTTTGCTCATAGTTGAAGGCCGTATGTTGATATATAATTTTTCTCGTGTTTGTACTGTGATCTTTGAGGAGGTGTCTTAAATGCAATCACGCTACATTTCCTTATCTGTATTCAAAGATTGTCAACGGTACAGTTTAAATTTTGTATTCCGGCTTGTTGTTTAAAAGCAGTTATTGGTCACCGTACGGCCTTTAACAATGAGCAAAACCCTTTGTTGTTTTCAGAGTTCCAGATGAAAACCGAAGCGTAAAATGTGCAGCTTTTTCTGAACTTTTTCAATGTACGTGTTGTTAATTATGACAACAGGCCATTAAATGCTGTCAGAAAATAAATGATAAATGGGAACACTTATCTTATTTTCTTGCATCAAAATAGAAAAAATATTGTAACTACACTTTATTCCTAGTCATTATAAGATTACGAAATTCTCCTTTTTCAATATATCGATCTTATACTTTTGGCAAAGTTATTATCGAAGAAATAAGTAATACATAAATCTTTATCTCGTGCAAATGAATAATATTCTGTAAAAACTTTTCAGGAGATATAATAATGAATATTCCCAATCTTTTGAGACCTGACATGACCGCCATAATTTGTAGCCTCTAAAAGTTACCCTTTAAGTTACTCTGCAGCCACATATCTTCATATCTGTTATCAACTACAGCTAAATAACTACCTGCCTGTGAACATTGACTCTAAAATTAAAATTCATTATTATATAATTATATACATGTATAACATCTCATAAGATATGTTAATTTAACATTGATAAACACTGTCAAATAAGAACCGATATTTTACATGGCAATTAAAACCTGTAATTCCACATTACTGAAATCGAATAGCGATAGGTGATTACAAGACGTGGTCAATAACAGTGCATCCAAACAGAGTGAAATAAATAGTAATTATATAGCTAGTATGCATTTTCCACTTTATTTCCACAATACAAAAGGATAACTCGTGACCGAACAACAGTAATATTTCACGCGTGAGCTATGCATATACGCATTCGTGAATTGATGTTTTGTTCGATTACTCCTTGAATATTTTTAAATATTTTTTTTCTTGGTTTAGTTATAATAAATAATGAACAGTTTGCTAAATGTTGAAATACTGTAATATCGCAACGCTAAATGTATATAACTAGAAGAATAGTACAGATCAGTTAAACGCGATAATAAGATGGTATTTGTATAATTATACAACCGCCGTGATGTTGTATGATCTCGTATCTATAAAGGATTTAATGTATAAGAAATGATAGTTTCATCCAAAGAGACAGCCTTTGATATATAAACTGATATGTGTCGCTGTAAAGAACAGTAATTCATCCTTAAAAATCTTTCTATAATTTTCTGGACAATTAACAGTTGTGATGATGTCCGATACCCAAAGCATGATTTTGAACGGCGTTAGCGCTAACTCATGTTTATAAATTTGCAGAAAAACAATTCTCAAACAAGAAAGTCTGACTTAATCTTTTCTCTTACTCCACAATACTTCGTGCTGATACGAGAACAATACATTTCAATGATTAGTCTGGAATGATCCGTCCCTCGAGGCAACAAAAGTTGCAATAAACTATATGTTTTTGCAGAAAAATTTCTGTGTTCATCACTTTTCTATTTACTGAACACTCGACATGCATATTCTAAAGGGAAATTTAAAATTAAAGTCTATTTTTATATTACCGTTTATTAACTAATTACCATCACTAATTTAAAAAGGGTTAGTTTAAACCTTTAATGAGATCATTTTTAAATTCACATTTTGGATTCGATTTTTTTTTCATAAACTTTTTTACCTTACTCACACATAATGAGTGGATAAAGTTTTTTTTTTTTTACTCTTACGACGTATGGCTCAAAATGGTCTACATATATTTCTTTTTCACCAAAAGTTTAATTTCTGCTTATTTGTTTGTTAGTTTAAGTAAACTATGACATCAAAAGCAAATTTTTTTTTTTGTCAGGGAAGGGCTACTTTTACTTATATGTTCTAAATTGAAGTGGGTGAATTGGCGGTCTGACACCTAACTTAAAATTCTTTTACTTCTACGTTTACCTTAGCTTCGTACCATGTCGACTTCTGTATTGCAAAAAAGTAGCAATGGCCATTGTATAGTTTCCAATTATAAGGACACTGCGTTGCTGTAAAAATATACAGAAGTTATGTTAGATGTATAGACAATGAAAAACAGAGGAAGACATTTTGTAGCAAAACATCTTTTTGGGTAAGGTTCATATCTAAATATTAATAGCAAGAGCTCAAAACGTACTATGTTTTACCTTTTTTGCTTGATTTTATTAAATGCAAAACGTTTAAAGCTCTAAATCAAATACGTTAAAGTTCATTAAAGATATCAGGCTTGTAATTTGGTACGCCAGACGCGCGTTTCGTCCACACCAGATTCACCAGTGGCGCTTGAATCAAAACAGTTGGAAACCCAAATCGAATACGAAGTTGAAGAGTATTAAAAACCGAAAATTCCAAAACGAATGTGTCAAATACATCTTTGACAATCTATGTCTGGGGTAGAAAAGCCTTAGTGTAACAACCAATAAAAAAAACCAAGGCTTATAATTTGTTATGCCAGACGCGCGCTTCGTCTATATATACATAACACCAATCAGTGTCACTCGAATTAAAACAACCTTAATATATGGAGTTGAAGAGGCCTTGAAATCTAAAAAAAAAAACACAAAAAACACAAAAACAAAAACACAAACAAAACAAGCCTGTCTATTGCAATCTATTCTTAGGGATAGAATACCCCCTAGTATTTCGAGTAATTCAACATTTTATATACAGTATATTTACAGAAAATGACCAATGTGTAAGACAAAAAACAAAATTCAAAAGCATGAATACTGATATCAATATTTGTTGGATGTTTTTGGTAGACATATTATGCCTTTTTTATTTTCGAATTCAAGGGACTGCATATTGCCTTCCCTTTTTTCTAATTCAAGGCACCAATTGTCCGCATATTTCCTTCTCCTCTGGTTTTTTTTTCAGAATTTGAATTTACTACAAGTGAAAACTGATATATATTTGAAAAGTTTTGCAGTTATGTAGATTACTTTTTTATGCATGGACAGCAGATGACTCACTCTTGACTTAGGCATGTTGAATATTCTTCTTGTACTTTTAAAAGCCTAAAATATGTAAGAAGGACTTAAAAATTCATGGAAAATCATAATTTAAAATATGTCTAAGGATGTCAAAACTTATTTATATATATGTTAATATAGATCCAGAGAAACATCTTGCAAGCATTTTATCATTAGTGTTAAATTTTTACTTAAATATAACCTTATTACCTATATGACATCTCGATCCGGTATATCAATCAACACATGCACAGGTGAACATGTTTACACGATCTGTGCAGCGTCCATAGGAACCACAAGGATTTGATGCACATTCATTGATATTTATTTAATAAAAAAAAATAATACTGCATGAAGGAATACATAGTACAAATTAATAAATATTAGATAAGGGACGGTATTAGGGATAAAGGGGCCCGGCCCCCCTTATGGAGCTACATATATGGTTAATGCATATATTTGTATTTGCCCAACTCCTGACGTTACTTAGTTTGGCCCCCTTTTTTAAATCCTGGATCCACATCTGTAGATGTACTACTACAAAAATTACTACTATAAAAATGGGGATAACATAAATCGTAAAAAAATACCACACAGTACAACAGTATAAGGCAATCCTTTTTGCCCCCCCCCCCCCCCCCCAAAAAAAGGAATAAATTATATGTATATTAAATCTGTCAAATAGCGACCTTCTGATTTTCAAAGACATAAATACATAAAATAAAAGGGCTGTGAACATTTGTACCCATTTAATTGGTCTTTACAGTTCCCATCATGCTGACATGGCTTGGCTGCACACTCATCAATATCTGCCATGAAAATATATAATTTCATAAATAAATTGATGCCGTTACCTCATCAATAGATTAATACCTGTTTCACTGTTTGATCCAGCATAACCAGGTAAACATGAGCATGTGTATCCATTGACTTGGTCTTTACATGTCCCTCCATGCTGACATGGCTTAGCTACACATTGGTTACTAGTAATAGGATTATATTTGATTGGCTGTTTTTTTTTTAATACTCTTAGTTCCTGTTGAAATATATTTGCTTTATATTGATGCTTCTTTTCTACATTTGATACCTCATGGAAATAATGATACCGATAGATTAATACCTGTTTCACAGTTTGATCCAGCATATCCTGGTAAACATGAACATTTGTATCCATTGACTTGGTCTTTACATGTCCCTCCATGCTGACATGGCTTAGCTACACACTCATTAATATCTGTCATGAAAATATATAATTCTATAAATAAAATTGATGCCATTATCCCTCAAATTGTAGGATTAAAGACCACATAAAGATGATGACTTTCTGAAAATGTCTTTTATGAAATAATCAACTTGGTCGATGCCATTACGTTAGAGAGAAAATATGATGAATAATATTTTTATTCAAATAGTAATCTTCACTTAAGATGTTTGAACTACCTTATGGATAAGATGACACCAAAAGATTATTACCTGTTTCACAGTTTGATCCAGCATATCCTGGTAAACATGAACATTTGTATCCATTGACTTGGTCTTTACAGGTCCCTCCATGCTGACATGGCTTGGCTGCACACTCATTGACATCTGTCATAAAAATATATAATTTTTATAAATAAAATCGTTGCCATTACCCCTCAAATTGTAGGATTAAAGATTACCTAAAGATGACGACCTTTCAAAAATGTCTTTTATGAAATAATTAATATATTTGCTTTATATAGATGCTTCTTTTCTATATTTGATACCTTATGGAAATGATGATACCGATCCATTAATACCTATTTCACAGTTCGATCCAGCATATCCTGGTAAACATGAACATTTGTATTCATTGACTTGGTCTTTACAGGTCCCTCCATGCTGACATGGCTTGGCTGCACACTCATTGACATCTGTCATAAAAATATATATTTTTTATAAATAAAATTGTTGCCATTACCCCACAAATTGTAGGATTAAAGATTATCTAAAGATGACGACCTTTCAAAAATGTCTTTTATGAAATAATTAACTTGGTCGATGTCATTACGTTAGAGAGAAATATATAATGAATAAGTCTTTTATTCAAATCAGTATTCTATTTTTAGAATTTATCTCAGATGTTTGGACTACCTTATGGGTAAGACAAAACACAAATAGATTATTACTCGTCTCACAGTTTGGTCCAGCATATCCTGGTAAACATGAACATTTGTATCCATTGACTTGGTCTTTACATGTCCCTCCATGCTGACATGGCTTGGCTACACACTCATTAATATCTGTCATAAAAATATATAATTTCATAAATAAATTGATGCAATTACCTCAAATTGTAGGATAAAAGATCACATAAAGATGATGACCTTTTAAAAATTTATTTTTAGGAAATAATCAACTTGGTGGATGCCATTACGTTAGTGACAAAATTGTGATGAAAAATTCTTTTATTTAAATCAGTCTTCTATTCGTAGAAATCACCAAGTTGTTTAATTGGGCTACATTATGGATTAGATGACACCAATAGATTATAACCTGTTTCACAGTTTGATCCAGCATATCCTGATAAACATGAACATTTGTATCTATTCACTTGGTCTTTACATTTCTGAGGTCACATGATAATTGGTATTACTCCATCCCCCTGTCCGTTTAATGATGACATAGATTCTGATATAAACAAGAGACTTATAAGAGCCTGATTCGCTCAATGTTAAAATTTTGCTGTTGATTCATTGTACCTATCTATTATAGTTTTGAGATAATAGGCAAAAACTAGAAATAAGGATAAAACAAACGCCATTTAAGACAAAACAAACTAAGTAAGGAGCCATTCAATGATTTCCGTCAATTTTTGCATCTTTTTGTTAGAAGATGAAACGACAAAAGAAATAACTGAAACACTTTAGGTTGTTATCTGAATATATTTTAATTTTACTATTATTATTTTTAATTAAAACTTTATAACCTATTCTACTTTAAAGAAGACTTGCAAAAATTAATTTTCAAATGTTGATTACATTTCAAAAATAACTATGATTTAAACCATTATCATATATTTGCTGCATTAACATAGAAAGACAGAGAGAAAATGGATGTTTTACCTCAAAATATTTATATATAAAGTATCAAGATATGAATGCCTGTTTTTGTTTAAGTACTCTAATTACCTCTTGAAATGTATTGGCTTCATATAGATGCTTCTTACCTACATTAGATACATCATGGAAATAATGATACCGGTAGATTAATTAATACCTATTTCACAGTTCGATCCAGCATGTCCTGGTAAACATGAACATTTGTATCCATTGACTTGGTCTTTACATGTCCCTCCATGCTGACATGGCTTGGCTGCACACTCATTGACATCTGTCATAAAAATATATAATTTTTATAAATGAAATTGTTGCCATTACCCCTCAAATTGTAGGATTAAAGATTACCTAAAGATGACGACCTTTCAAAAATGTCTTTCACTATGAAATAATTAACTTGGTCGATGTCATTACGTTAGAGAGAAATATATAATAAATAAGTCTTTTATTCAAATCAATATTCTATTTTTAGAAATCATCTCAGATGTTTGGACTACCTTATGGGTAAGACAAAACACAAATAGATTATTACCCGTTTCACAGTTTGGTCCAGCATATCCTGGTAAACACGAACATTTGTATCCATTGACTTGGTCTTTACATGTCCCTCCATGCTGACATGGCTTGGCTGCACACTCATCAATCTCTGCAACGAAAACATAAAATTCCTTAAAAAAATTGTGAAGTCACTTGCTAATTGTTGTAACCACCTCCTACTGTCCGATTAAAGAAGACATAGATTTCTGACATAGAGAAGAGTCTTTAAAAGCCTGATTCTCACAACTGTTAAGATTTTGCCATTTGTTGTTTCTACCAATCTATTATAGTTTCGAGATAAAAGGTTAAAACTGGAAATAAGTTTGAAAAATCATTATTTAAGGCCAAAAAACTATATAGGATTATATTTGATTGGCTGTTTTTTTTTTAATACTCTTAGTTCCTGTTGAAATATATTTGCTTTATATAGATGCTTCTTTTCTACATTTGATACCTTATGGAAATGATGATACCGATCGATTAATACCTATTTCACAGTTCGATCCAGCATATCCTGGTAAACATGAACATTTGTATCCATTGACTTGGTCTTTACAGGTCCCTCCATGCTTACATGGCTTGGCTTCACACTCATTGATCTCTGCAACAAAAATATATTATTTCATTGAAACAACTCCCTCCTAATGCTCGATTTAAGATTACATAGTTTTTCTAGAGACTGTAAAGATTTTGCTGTTTACAGTTTTTACCAATTCTATTATAGTTTCGAGATAAAAGGTAAAAACTAGAAATAACCATTCCCAATGAAAAGCATGATACCTATTTCGGTATATTAACTACCCTCAATACTTTTTTTCAAATCTATCTTATGTTGATTATTATGCTGACACGTGACCCTCATCTAGCCACATTGTAATGTGCCTGTGAAAGACAGCATGCCATGGTCAGTGAACGTTTTGTTCATTATTTGTTTCGCTTCTAATATTGATAATGGAACTAATATCGCTGTTTTCTGTCTGATTTTATACTGCGTATGGTGCAGTCTATAAACTTTTTTGGTAGTGAACCTGTTTTCTGAATAACAAAAAAAAATACACATTTACTGAAAAATAGCCTTTATATATCACTATAATTTTTCCAAGCATTTCATAATGAATTAGTTTTCATGATCAAACACCAAATGCGTAGATTTTTACTTTATTTAGTTTAGAACGAGTGTGCTGATTTTTTACCTGGTTCTTATTATAGATGCATACCTCTAACTTTGCATGTCTTTTCAATCTTTTCTATTAGTGTAGCCATCTTTGACAACTCTTTCCTTAAACCTGGTAAATATTCGTAATTGATAAAAAATTAAAAAATAAGACAATGGAATTTATTAGGGTCTGGATGGGGTTCTTCATTTCTGTATTCTTTAATGTTTAGGTAATTTTTCTCTATTAATGATATGTTTGCCCATTACTCTCTTTTTTTTTCTGTATTTCTGCACTCCATATCTCTCTTTTCTTTATTTTCTATCCTATATTTCTCTTTTCTTTTTTTTGGAGGGTTGATTTTTTTCTGTACATTTGGCCCAATATTCTCTATTATGTGAAACCCTCCCAGACTCTCGTCTATTGGAAGATAAAATGCCGACAAAAATGATAAATTAGAAATTCAATTTTCATTTGTTGTATATACATGATATATATTTCAAACATTACTATGTGAAATATCAGTGTTAAAAGTTAGTCATTATTATGAATTACCTGTAACATTTGCACAGCTCACACATTTGTTACCAGTAAAAGAGAACCCATTTTCTCTCTGCTGTATTGTTCTACCACTGCACACAGCAAAAAGAATAACCACTACGATGATGGACTGCGTAGTCATGTTGAGTAGCAAGTAGTAGATATAGTGAGAAATGATTTGATTTTATACTCTATGAACAGGAAGTTTTTGATCACACAACTATATTATTCCTCTTATTTTTTCCGTTATTTTAGAGATATGAAGCTTAAGGTTAATCAGCTTAATAAAAAAAGGAAGGAACACCCAACATATTCAAGGAAAATTGTTGTTATCACACGGATGTAATATTTCCTTCATTGTTCCTCATACTCAAGTTTTCACAACATTACTTATAAATTACTGCATTGTATAACACAAGCTTCTTCCTTTAAAACAATTCAGAATTGTTACTTTTTGTGGTTTCAATAGAAAATTCCAGTTTAAAAATTTAGAGTAAACTGCAATTTAAAATATATTTGTGTATGTACTCTTTTAATTTTTGTTTATTATTATTAATTTAAACAAGTAATTTCCCGTATATTCTCTTTTTCTTACATACTTTTTTCACAAATCTTTTATTGTAGCGAGTAAGTCGAGTTTGTTCAATTCATTTCTATATGAAACTATGGTTTGAGTTTGTTATTCCCAAGATTTCCAGTAACTCATACATCAACATTTCATTTCGTTTAATCTTCAGTGGTAATCTAAACCAATTTGGCAAATATGTATTTAAAAATGTTTAAGGGCAAAATTTACATAAACAAGTCCGTCGTATTCAGCTGAACACTTAATATGTGAAGTAAATAAACAATCTATTTTGCAACTGCTTATAAGACAAGTATCAATAACAAAGAAGGAGTGTGTGAGGTGAAAAAAAAGTCCTTGTTAAATCGTTGGTTTCCAGACGATTTACGGCTTGATATGTTGTATAGACACTTGCTTTTATATTATTATTGTAATTTTAAGTCGCTGGGTTGTTATCACACATCATAGTATATAAAAAGTTGTTGTAGCAGACCTTTAACCCATATATCGTTTAGTTTTTTGTCTCGCCTTGGCGGAATCAAAAAGCGAGACATATGTATGCTGTTTCCGGAGGCGGCAGTATTTAGTTGTATTAGCATTGGGACATCTTATTTCCACGGAGATTATTTGGCCCTGCCCCCTCAGTCATGGTCTATTGACTTTGAAACTTTTGCTTAGTTTACATGTATTAGTTTGTGACTAGGTCAGTTTATGGGGAACCACTAGTGGTAGGTCAATGATATTTGGTATGCAGTTGTATAAGCATTGGCATATTTCATTTCCATGGAGATTATTTGGCTCCGCCCCCTCAGTCATGGTCTATTGACTTTGAAACTTTTGCTTAGTTTACATGTATTAGTTTGTGATTAGGTAAGTTCAAGGGGAACCATTAGTGGTAGGCCAATGTTAATGGGTATGCAGTTGTATAAGGATTAACACATCTCATTTCCATGGAGAATATTTGGCCCCGCCTCCTCAATCATGGTCTATTGACTTTAATACTTTTGCTAAGTTCACATGTATTAGTTTGTGATTAGATCAGTTTAAGATGAACCGCTAATGTTAATTTAAGTCAATGATATTTGGTATGCAAATTTATTGGCATTTGCAAGTCTCGTTTCCATGGAGATTATATAGCCCCACCCCCTCATCATGGTTCATTGACTTTGAAACTTTTACATAGTTTACAAGTTAATGTTTGTGTTTAGGTTTGTTTAAAGGGAACGGCTTATGATAAGTCAATGGTATTTGGTATGCAGTTGTATTAGCATTGGCACATCTCATTTATATGGAGATTGTTTAGCCATGTACCGTCAGTCATGGTTCATTGACTTTGAATATTTGCATAATTTACATGTTAAAGTGTTGCTTTTTTAATTTCAACATTTGCATTATCAAAATTACAAAAAGGCGAGACATATCTCTGTGTTAACAGTTTATATAACTATTGTTTTACATTATGTAATTATTATATACGTGTTTTATGTACTGCCATCGCCATCAAAAATCGTAAAGGGTTTTGGGTGCTGCTCTCCGTGTAAAAGTTAATGTTGACAGTCAAAAAAGAAACTTTATTTAAAAGAAAAAAAACCAGACAACTTAATAAGGAAAACATCAAAATTCAACGCTGCTATCTTTTGATTATGAAGAAGCTTCTGCAAAAGTTACCTGGAGTTAAAATAAGGCGATGTGGTATGATTGCCAATAATACAACTCTCCACCCGAGACCAAATTGACGTAGATGTTATCAACTATAGGTCACCGTACGGCCTTCAACAATAAAAAAAATATTATGGTAAGATATATAAGACCCAAACATTACAAAATATAAAAAAAAAATGCAAACGAGAAAAACAACTGCCTAATTTATGTAAAAAAACAAAAACGAAAAGCAAATATGATATACAGCACCAAAATATTTGGGACAGGTATGTACATAAGGAATGTGGCGGGGTTAAACCTGTTTGTTAGCACCAAACTCTCTCCTAGTGTGGGACAATGGTGTGACAGCATAACGTATGAACAAACTATAAGATTAGTTGTGAAAGGGCTAGACTCATCAGACCTATACAAAGCACAAAAAAAAAAATTAAAAAAACACTAAAGACACAAAATACTGATCTGAGAGTACTTTCAGTTACTGAAAGCTACTCCAAAGCCAATAACAACTAATAAAAAATATATCATGCATGTATCCAAGACAAAATATCAATCAGCATGCATGCAATGGATTGAGTATGAAGACTAAATTGTTAAAATAGTCTAAGAAAACATAACCTTGTAGGTAAATATTTGAAATGCCAAAATATAAGCATCGGCAGGACGTAGAACATAAGTGTTGATTACTGATTGATAACAAAATTAATGATTATAGTACCGATAAAAACAATGTTCAAAAATCTTATTACAGTGTTAAATTGATAACATTTTAGAATAAGTTTATTCAAAGAATAAATAAGCTTACAAAATCGTGAAGGAATACATTATTGAAAGCATGCCAGTACTATTACCTTTATTGTGTAAACTTTTTAATGTAATTTTATGCACTGGGTTCTTCCCAGAGCTCTAGGTGAAATGTATAATAGTGCCGAAAAAGGTCCCGTTAATGACTCTGGAAATAATCGAGGTATATTATTAGTGTCTCATATAGGAAAAACATTTACAGCTACTAACAATACCAACCAGACAGCTGAAATGGAGCGATAAATACTGTATTATCACATACGCACAGCTTGGATTTAGACCTGGCCACGGAACTCGTGATGCAATATGTGCTGTTCATTCCAACATATCAAAATCTTTGTGAAACGGAAAAGGTTATATTGTTGTTTTATTGATTATAAAAAGGCTTTTGACAGTGTTAAGCATTTTAAATTATGGATGAAATTAGTAAAATGTGGTATAACCGGAAAATTGTTAAATTTAATAAAATCTATGTATTCTGACATGAAATCATGTGTTAAACATAAGGGAAGTTTTTCTGAGTTTTTTTAACTGTGACATTGGTCTAATGCAAGGAGAATCGTTATCACCTTTTTTATATGCTATGTATGTCAATGACATTGAAATAGAATTGATAAAACAGGGTTGTCAATCGTATGACATGAGAATGCTCAATCTTTGAAATCTGAAGGGTATAATTTTATCAGCAATCAAAGCCGGGCTCCAAAGTTATTGTGAAACTGCCTATTCTAGAGGTGGCGTGAATCAGATGTGGATACTAAAAAATTCCAAAGATCTTTTAGAGTACATACAATCTAAGACTCTCTCATCTTGCAATAGTATTAAAACATTTGACTTTTCTATACTTTACACAAGTATTCCCCATTCCAAACTAAAAGACAAATTGAAAGAGTTGGTATTACTTTGTTTCATTAAAAAGAATGGCGAACGTAGTATCTTGTCTTGGGGAGGGATAAATCCTACTTTGTAAAGAATCACTCTGATTCAAACAAAAAATTCTCTGAAACTGACATTATCAAGATGCTTGATTTCTTGATTGACAACATATTTGTTACGTTTGGAGGACGCGTTTTTCAACAGACTGACGGAATTCCAATGGGAACCAATTGTGCCCCTATTCTTGCCGACTTGTTTCTTTATTATTATGAGGCTGACTTCATACAGGAACTTCTTAGGAAGAAAGATAAAAAGTTAACAATATCCTTTATTTTTACGTTCCGCTATATAGGTGATGTTCTCTCACTAAATAATACAAAATTTGGTGACTATGTTGAACGAATCTATCCCATCGAACTAGAGATAAAGGATACTACAGATACAGTTAAGTCTTCCTCATATCTTGACTTACATCTAGAAATTGACAATGAGGGTCGGTTGAAAACAAAACTTTACGACAAAAGAGATGGTTTCAGCTTCCCAATTGTGAACTTTCCATTTCTATGTAGCAACATTCCAGCAGCGCCTGCATACGGAGTATATATCTCCCAATTGATACGATATTCCTGGGCTTGTATTTCCTATCATGATTTCCTTGATAGAGGATTGCTGCTCACAAGGAAGCTATTAAACCAAGAGTTCCAAATGGTGAAGTTGAAATCATCCCTTCGTAAATTTCACGGACGCCATCACGAGTTGGTTGACCGTTATGGAATAACCGTTTCACAGATGATATCGGATATGTTCCTCATGTCGTAACTATAATACCCTTCCCTTTTCACGAATGTGACCTACCGAATTAGACTATTTACCGGATTTGTAATAACATAAGCAACACGACGGGTGCCACATGTGGAGCAGGATCTGCTTACCCTTCCGGACCACCTGAGACCACCCCCAGTTTTTGGTGGGGTTCGTGTTGCTTAGTCTTTAGTTTTCTATGTTGTGTCATCTGTACTATTATTTGTCTGTTTGTCTTTTTATTTTTGGCCATGGCGTTGTCAGTTTGTTTTCGATCTATGAGTTTGACTGTCCCTCTGGTATCTTTCGTCCCTCTTGCATATAAATATGTTAAAAACTAAGATTGTTGCATTTAGAAACAGAGGTGTTATCAAACCAGAAGAAAAATGGTTCACTAATGGAGAAAACATTGAGTTATGTGATGAATTTATATAAAT